GGGAAGAAAACACGTTACGATTTGGCGGTTCTCAAAATGTAAGCGAAAAAATCATTTTTTAATTTTTACCACCGGCCCTGAAAATATTTGCACTTTGGGACTCACCCTGTATAGAATTCACTTTCATTTTAAAAACAAAAGAAAATCAAACCATTTAATGGAATGCATGCTTATACGGTTGAGTACTAGTACCACCGTTAATCAAGGCATACCCATATATACGGGGAGCAGGGTGAAATAATAGTAACATTTATTTTTGGTTATAAATAATATATGTTTATTTCTTGGTTCTTTTTTGCTATTTGTCATTTATACAGGGTGAGTTTTAAAAAGTGCAAATATTTTTTTTTATTATTTATTATTTCGACCCTAGGAACATGTCTATAGGTTTTTTTTTCACAAAAAAGATGTTGAAAATCGTGCATTTTCTTTTAAATTATAATATTTTTCAGACACTTTTTGAGGGCACTGCCTGTTCACCGCAAATTTTTCCACAGTATAATTTCTTAATCTCTGATATTACCATAGTTACGGCTTTACTCCATGGTTACGGCACTAAAATGGATGCAAATCAGGGGTTGGAAAAATAAGTATTTTTTAAAAAATCAGATTTATTTGATTTAAATCAGATTTTTTTTATATTATTAAATCTCTAAATGACTAGGACTTATTTCCCATTAAAGAAAATTTATCTTAAATGGCTAAATCTTTTATAACTGCCGATATCGATAACATTGTGATTCTAGGGTGTGTGTTTGTCATTTTTCCACATCGGTCACCAATATATTTCGCAAAAGAATCGCTCGCTTCAGATCGAAAGGATTTTTTCAAAACTCAAATAAAATAAAAATATTTTTGTCATTTTAACGCCTAGGCATAAAAAGTACAAAAATATATTATTAAACTGATAAACTGATAAGTGTCAAATTCAACGAGTGTACAGGGTGGTCCGAAAAAAAAATAAGTAAAAAAAAAAAAAAAAATGATTTGTTGTTGTTTTTAAAAAAATAGTATGTTCTATTCCGAGTAAAATGTACTTTTTATGGTTCCTTGTAACGTCGGAATAGCTTTGTCGGACCTTCAAGGTACAGCATCAAGTATAATTTTATATAATAGGCAGCCACTATTGTTTGAGCCGTTATGCTTAAGTTGAGAATGAAATTTCTAATTTATCCCTAATCAAAGTGTAAAATACTTACTGCATATCAAAATGTCGGTAGGAATTTGGAAAAATACAACCGTTTCAAAAGTATAAAACAACATATTTCTGACGATTATAGATTCTCAGGAATGAAGATATAGTCTCTATATCAGAAGAACCTAGTTCTGCACTAGACTACGAATAGTATGTATTTGAACAGCTTGAATTTTGGGGTCATTTAGCCCATAAATCTTAAAATAAATCCCTGCGTTTAGCGGTCTAATGGATTCCACGGAATTTACTTCCAAAAATCCGAGGTCCAGCAAAGGATTTAAATTGATGAATATATATTTTTATATGTCTAGTTTATAACATTTACAATTTACTTTTCGATTTATTTATCTATTATATCTTTTATAGAAATATTTTTATAGTTTTCTAGGACATTTTATAACTTTTACAGTTATTTTTGATTTATAATAAAAGTGTCAATAGGTATTTTTTTAATTTAAATCACGATTAAAATTTAAAAAAAAAAAACTTGATTTAAATCATGATTTAAATCATTAAAATGATTAATTAGATCATTAAAAATGATTAATTAAATCAGTAAAATCATTAAATCATGCCAACCCCTGATGCAAATACAGAAAAATCCGGTGGCTCTCAAAATTTTTCAAAAAATATTTTTTTTTTAATTTTTCAAACTTAAATAACTCGGTTATTTTGGACTTATATGAAAAATGGTGAAATATGTTTCTTTTATCGAGATCTGCTAGCCCTGAAAATATTTGCACTTATTTAAGACTCACCCCTGGATGATTGGTAAATATTGTATTTTTTGGGGAATTACTTAGACCTTATGGCACACTACCGACACCGAAAACATCCCTGTTATCAAGACTCGACAGGGTGTAAAATTGCATTTTCACATTGCGGTGGGGGTGGTGGAAGTAAATTGTCAAAAGATGCATTTGGGAACTTTTGGCGATTCCAGTGAAAAAATCTAGATGTAACCGCCATCTTTAACATATTTTCGAGAATATGGTTTGATAAAAAGACAATGAGGTGTCATAGGAACCCTACCGCCATCTTTAACATATTTTGAGGAAGTCGTTATAGTGTCATAGGAAATATATCGCTATAGCACTCATAGCCTTGAATTTAAAATAACAATTATTTGAACGATATTATAACAAACAGAAATATTTTTTTTTTTTTTTTTTTTTTTTTTTTTTGAAATACCCTGTATAGATCGGTTATGTCGACTTTCCTTAATTATGATTATAGAGAATTATGATTTAATCTATGCTGATTCAAGATCATGTTTTTGCCAGTTTTAGACAAGTTTTGTTTTATCTCGAAAACTATTAGGGATTGGTATAGAATGAGTATAATAGAGAAAATTATAGATATAGAAGTAGTTTCGAAAAATGTAATATATACCTGGTCTTCCATTTAAAAATAACAAAAGATGCTACCACTTTTAGAATGGAGCAGCAACACTGAAAATAATTTAGACTGACGGAGCAGGTGTGTACTTTATGCAAAATTTTAAAATTTAAAAGAAAAATCCACCACCAGTTCTCCATAAACATCTAACATACCATGACCGTGTCGCCCTGTGGTAGAGACCATGTTTAAACCAGACTATAGCCTGGGGTCCAACAGATCCAGAGGCCGTTTCACCAGGACATCGAGAATGACGTAGAAAGTATTAACTTAAAGTAGCACTACTTATATAGAAGTTCCTTAATCACATACTAATATTTAAAGGGGCGATTCTTGGACCTATTCTAAGCGAATAACTTCTTATGAAAGTATGTCCTAAACATCTTTAAGTTCTGAGATACAGGGTGGTAAATTTAAAAAACTTTTTTGGCAGAAAGAGCCTTGTGGTCATCGCGAAACAAGAAGAAGAGAGAAGAAGAAAAACTTTTTTTTTTTTCATATTAACTCTGATTTTATTATTAGAAATATTTATGTAACTTAATATACGTCTTCTATATGCATCAAAATAGCTTCTTGGTGTACACACAATTTTATTTATATATCAATAAGTGCTGTCCATATAGGTTTTACATTAAATATTTTTGGAGAAAAAAGTGGTACGCTAGTGACTACTCCTACAGCGTTTTCATATGCGACGGATCGTCCGTCGTGTTTTTTCAAGATAGCCGTCAGACAAACTCCGTCGGACGAAGCATACGCGCCCATGTGAAATGGTTCATATAAACACAGAACACACTAAAAGAAGAACGCTAACTCCCATGCATTTTTTTAGTTTCAAAACGGTTTCAAATTTGTAAAGAAATCAGTAATCTGTATATTGAAGTGGCGCTCCTAGCCACCCAGGAAAGTAACAAATGTGGCAGCAAATTTAAATAGATACGAAATTTATTTTAAAGCAAGACAATATTGGTTTGTTCGCCAGTTAGAGCCAATCAGATTACTACAAAATAATGTGTAGTTATCTGATTGGTCCCAAGTTGGCAAACAAGTCAAATGGTAAAAACAAGGATTTATATATAAAGGTTAAACCAAGTTAAACTATTGTAAAGTGTTAAATGGTTTGCTTCTATCATTTTATGTGCATAAAACCACCACAATAAACAATTTTATTTTAATTTACAGAAATTATACCATGGAAACATTTTACAAACAAATAAAACAACAGATTAAAAGTATAATGGCTATTATAGTACCGGATTTAAGAACACATAACAAATATCGTTGGAATACAAGAAAGTGACGTCCATTAGAAACAATGTTTTATTTACATGTATTTTTTACATATGGACTTGAACAATTGTGTAATATCACATTGTGGAGTTTATGTACAAAATATGGAGTTGATCAATTTTTTTGTAAAATATATGGCGTTGTAAATATTACATTGTTAAAAAATAAAATTCACGAGCATTTGGACTTGGTTAGGTTACCTCACTTTCTCAGTTATTAAATAAAATTGTTAGATAAACCAAAGACCTTTAACTTAAAACTTACAGCCTTTAATAAAGATCACCAAAATCAAACACAAAACAAAGTTCAAAAAATTCAAATACAAAATCCCACAATTGTAAAATGAAGTTGCAAAAACACAGCCAAACAACCAAAAAACAGCGAAACGCAATCTCCGTTCAATTGCAAAACACAACTGAAGAGGAAGGAGGAAGCCGGAAACGGAAAACTGATTTGACATACAGAACAATGACAGAACATAATTAATGGGCCTATTTAGGCAGCTTATATAAACAATTTTGTACGCAATTGTTAGGCAACTAGAAGGTAAAATAAAAAGAAAATAAAAAAAAAAAAAAAAAAAAAAAAAAAAAAGATCGTTCAAGGTTGTATATCTCAGTTGACTGGCCCTGCATATAAACTCATGGTACTTGCTCGAAGTTGCGGACGCTCCGTCGCCGACGGTCCGTCGCATGTGAAAGCAAAGCGCTGTTAAATAAATTAATTTTTCAAAATCTCCGTTCATTTTAAAACATTTTATATCTCTTGATTTTTTCGCCCGACACATAGTTTTGTAGCAAAACGGTGACTGTTGTGTGGAAATCATTTCTGCATCGGCTGGAAGGAACTTAAGAAATAAATCCAATTTTGTATATCAAAATAAGCATATTGATGCATGGAAGACATTTATAAAATATAACATCGAGATATTTTAAAAAAAAAATGTTAGAAAATTTTAGCACTCTGTATCTGAAAAGTTAACATGTTAGGACATAATATATTCATATGAAGTTTTTTTTCTTAGAATAGGTCCAAGAATCGTTCATCGAATAAATATTAGCATGCCATTAAAGGAACACCCTGTATATGAAATATTATAAAACAAAGTCCTACTTACTGCATTTTGGAAATATTCTGAATTATAATAACAGTTCTTTTGATCGGAAAAGTTCGAGTACGCCTTGTATGTCCTGCAAGCTCTATAAATTCGCGTATCGGTGTAATCCTTCAAAGGATAACTGACAGATAAGTAAATTGTAGAAAAAATACGAGGCAAGGTAGAACTTCATTCAAGAAACAAAACTAATGTTTTTGTAAGCCTAATAGGAATTTGTATTTTAAGTGACACTTTTTAGCATTATCTTATTATTAATGGGGAATAAATGATAGTGAACGTCCTTAAACATACATACAAATAATGACTTGTTACACACGGTTATTAAAAATTATTTATTTTAAAATTAGACATATTTTCAAAACTGTAGTAAGTAGCATTTGCATTATTAAATACATTTACATTTGTCACTATTAATGATTATGTTGGAGGGTTTCCATCCAAACCAATATGTGTAGATCCGTGTCACGCGGTGAAATTTATAGAATGGGAACCGATTCGGTAAAAGTAATAAAAAGGTTTGAAACATACAGTTCCACCAGAATAAACTTTTAGTCACGTGATTAAAGCTTGACCGGCACAGCGTTGCCCACTTTTATATATTTTCTTTTTTAATCAAAATATTTTTAAGAAAAATAATTATGAAATAAACGGTTTATTTTACATCCATTGACTCACCTTCTCAACAGCACTTAAAGGGACATAAAGGGCCATTACTACCGCGTTCCTATTCCAAAATGATATTCTAATAAAGTTGCGATGAGTTTTTTGGCTGTTAAGCTGCCTTGTAAACTTCGCACTAAAGTATCACAAAGACGTGCATTTCGACTGCAAGATCTGGTAGTAAACATTTTCA